AGATGGTTTCCTACATGCTATCTGGGAAGCTGCACAGACCAGCAGAGGAAGAAGGTCAGAGTTTGCTGTGTTACCCTTCCTTGTAGCCCATACCAAAGGCACAGAACAGCTCAAACCAGCAGCACAGTTCTTAGTTCATAGACGTCTCTCTGCCTGGCTGTGCACGTTTTGACTCCACGCATCCTTCCCAAGTCAAGAGGCCAGAAACACATAGATGAACCAGGGAGATAAACTAAGAATTTGCACTTCTGTAAACACTCGGAAAGGAAGTTGATGCATTTTGTCCAGGCCTGAAGAGCATTAGACTTGCATAACTAGGTCCACTGTTTACTTCCTAGAAGCTGGAAGATGGAAGATGCAAGAACTAAGACTGAAATCATCATTCCCATTGATGCGAGTACCTGATGCAGTCTGCTCTTTGCCTTAATGCCAAAAAAAAAAAAAAAAAAAAAAAAAAGGATTTTTTTTACTGTTATTTTAACAGACTGAAGTATGGATAGAACCACCTAAAGGAGCAGAAATCAGGTGCACTTGGCATCGTTGCACTTGAGCTGTTGAGGAGTGATGATGTTATAAGGAATTCACTCCTGCCTACTGGCCTCAGTTGCTCTGAGAATGATGTATTTAAAGACAAGCAGCACTTTAAAGTAACAGCCTAGAGAGGAAGCTTAGCACAGCACCACTTTGCCTTTATTAATAAGACATTTCTGACAAGACTTTCAGAAAGAGTAGGGGAGAAAAAGTGGAACTTCTAAAACAGTCGGAAGATGGGTGCGCTCCAGAGGGTGACGCAGAAGGAGCAGTGCTGGCCAAGTGCTGGTGGGGCTCTTCTCAGGTAAGTCCATCCGAGCAAGACTCGGCCCTAGGACAAACGCCGCCCAGCTCCCAGCCTGCCGAGCGRGCCGGTAGGGATCTGGCCCGTATAAATATTTGCCTCTGGAATTCCGCAAAAGCCGTTCCCCCAGCACACATGCTGTTGTGCACGTGTGTGCTGCCGCGGCTTTGCCCGGGGTGAGCTGTAACCTTTCTCCCTGAGCACTGACTACTGCATTCCTCGCTTGTCAGCAACAGACCCCCGAGCTCCCCTAGACTCTCCCTCGTGTTATTTTTAGTCCAGCACACGTCTTTGTTGATCCCCTCCAGTTTACCTTTCGACCATAACTGCTTCTTTGTTGCTTCACCCTGGCCATTGAATAGGCAATACTGACTAGAATGAAATAAAATACCTCTGGAAAGCAGCTGAGCTGGTGACTTTGAACACCATGAACACTATTCAAGCACAAAGCCTTTTTCTGCTATTGGTCTTCTTTTGGTCTCTCAATAAGTGAAGGACAGCATTAGAGCTGCATCATAAATTTTACCTAAAAGCTAGTCAGAAGGTTAGAATTTTGATTATTTTTGCTTGCATTTCGCTCCAGTACCTGTACACAGCTACTTGAATTGTAACTATAAGATGTAGAAAGGTGTGTAGACCGCTTCTCAGCTGAAGCAAGATGTTTGTTTTCAGGATATTTTCCGTACATTTTCAAATATAACAGCAAAATCTTTACCATTTTCTTTGAAAACATTTTCTCTGCCAGTCCATAAATCTCACTATTCAAATCTTTTTTTCTTTAATGTCATTCCCAGTCCTCTAGTTTAACTGGTTTAACAGCTTTCCTTGTAAATTAACCTAATACATTTGTGTTGACCTACATCAGAGATTTACCAACTGAGGTCTGTACACATTTACCTGGCACCAGTGGCATCCTCTGCCAGGTCAGACCATGAGCGTGTGTTTACCGGAGTAACGGAGTCAGCTTTTCCACACAAACAATCTGAGGGAAACTGCAGGCATGTGATTCAAGGCTCCCCACAAGTAGACCCATTTGCAAAGGGAGCAGGAATGTGTCTGAGCTGCAAGGAAAAGGGCTCCCTGTGAGGAATGATCATTTTGGCAGTAACTAACTTTGTGCAGGTCCGGTGATTTTTCTCCAGTAGCATTGGGGCATGCAAGCCCTGTATGGAGAGGTGTGCTGAGATGCAAGGTCTCAGCAGCAATAGCTAGCTAATCAGCTAATTATTGATATAGCAGCAGAGGCAGCCGCCAGCTTTCTTATAAATGTGTGGATGTTTCCTARTGCGGAGCTAAGAGCTGCTTCTGGTGGTCATGGTCACAAATTCCCTGCTGCTCCCATTGCAGAATCAAATTCTGGCCCCTCTTTCAGCACCTCTTGGATATTGCGAGGCACAGACCTAAACTGAGCRCGTAGTTCCAGGTGAATGTTACTCAACATAAGAATAGAGACTGTAGCCTCTTGTTAGCAGAATTTAAAAGTATTTTATACTTTCATATTGTATGGCAAACTCTTAGCTCATTTGCTGTCCCCAGTTAATGTCACATACCTCTCTAGCAGAAATGCTTGGCGAATTTCTTTGAGTGTATATAACTTTCACCTTTTCACTGCTTTTCCCTCTAGATCACTGATTGCAARCTTTTGTAAAATTCAAGGCCTTTTATTTCCTTTCCATATTTGCAACCTATATATAATGCATTTTCCAGTCATGATTCATTAAAATTCTTCTAACATGTAATTAAATTCTTTACACAACCTGGCTTAGATTATCTGCTATTGTGTAAAGTAACATCAGACAGACAGACAGACTCCCTTTGCCATCTTCCTCTGATGCGTTACAGATTATCTTTACTCCTTTGCACCTCTTATAAAAGGTCATTTTGACCTTTTCCAGCTCACTTTTCTGAACTGGTTGCACAGGCYATTTTAAATATTTTGAGCTGTGGCATGTCTACATATGGAACAACCTAAAAAAATCACAAAGAACTTATGCTTGATCGTGATGCAATATATATTGCACTCTGGTTGGTTGAACTGCTAAAATGAATGATAGTAGGTGCGTCTTTATTAACGCTTTAGTTTGGATCAGGAATATACCTTTGAAATGAATCTCTCAACACCCCTCTTTGGTTCACAGCACCAACCACTCTTGGAGGACRTGAACTGGATTGCTTTCAAATCCAGCTGAGTCAGAGGAATCTGCCTGGCATTGCACCAATGATCTCGAGCCCCTTGTAAAGATTCATTGAGTCTATGCAACCCATGTAGACCCAATTCAAAGTAAATCTCCGTAGTGTGTCAGAACCTCAGTGCTATTCATCTACTATATAAATCCGYTCCTTGGGGGCTACGTTGTTGTTTATGTAGATGTAACCACTGCTAGTTAAAAACCCACTGTTTTGCCTCCTCCCTCGTTGCCTTTTGTTCTTCCCCAAGAGTGGTAGTTAGGTCAAGTACAGACATATACATACTGGGCTCCAGATTTAGTATCGCCTCTTGTCCTGCAACTTACTGCTGCCTATTTTAAAAATGAACTAGTGCCCTTCTGAACGCAAATAGAAACAGTGCCAGACAGATGTCATCTAAATAGGCCATATACGTTTTCTAAGTTTCTTTAGGTAGATTACACTATGGTCATTGTGCCTGCATTTGCCTATGTTAGCATTGTCACTTGCTGTTTAAGAAAAWTTTACAATGTCTGATCGTATGAAATTTCACCAGAAGTTGGCCGCTTCTTTCTCCCGCTACCTCCCCAAAGGTAGGAGGAATATGAGGGGGAAACCAAATGCAAACACTAAAGATCCCTCCCTTGTTGCTGTTCTGTTGCTGTGCAAACATGTATACAGGACATCAGGATTTGTAGATGCTCTATAAAGACAAAAGACAAAGGCCTAGGTGGGAAGAAATTATGATTTGCACTAAATAGGTGGTGAGCCAGTTCTTCCCACAGTTACAGTGTTGTGAGTCCTGCACATTCCAGAGTTGGAATAAGAGCGCAGTTGTCTTAGAGGAAACAGGGGCTAGTGAAAAGGAAGAGGACTCAAAAGTTACGACAAGAAAAAGTGAAAATAGTAAATAAATTAGCTAGTGTTTAGTTCTTAATGTGTTCAAAAAGAGTGGAAAAACACAGGCTGAAACTTGTGATCCTGTAATTTGATCTGCGTGTGCTGACCTTGTGAGAAGTTATCAATCAATTTTAATGATAACATCATACTTTTCAGGGAAAGAACAGCATCTGACTTTAAATTACAAACATTGCTGTAAAAATAAAGGACTCTGGCCCAACTTAGCCCTAGGACAACTTGATTCCCTGGTCCTTGCTTTCAGGGATACCCAAGAGGATTTTCTTTGCAGGCTAGATCTTTCACCCTCCTCACACATCCCCATAGGCACCTCATGCTAATATTGGGAAGGGAAAGAGAGGCTCAACTCCCCTTTTATTCCTTCCTTCCTCAGGGAAGTCACAGGCCACAGTAATCAATTAACAAGGTCATTACAATAAGCAAGGTCAAATGGTTTTCTTGGCTGTGGCTACTAATGGGAGTTACTGGAATCCTATATAAACTTTTTTGTTTGGAAGATCTTGTATTTCCATTTAGCAGAGATACAAAGACCTAATTCCCTTTTTTACTTCTCTCTTCCTTCTCCACTCCCCTTTTCCTGCCAGTTTTGTATTTCCCTCCTCTCATTACTGCACTGACATAAATAACTGCACAGGGAGAGCTCAGAATCAGGCCCTATTTTGTGCCACAAACATGCAAGAAAAATAGAGCAATAAAAGAAAGTAACTGAACCAGAGATATTTAGAAGAACTTTATCTCTTTTCTTTTTCTTGCCTTTTTCATTTCAAAGCATAAAATATTACCTGAAATATCAGTTAAGCAGGGAAATATCCTAATAAATGAGCATGCAAGTATGTGCCCAGTAAGTTATTTGATTAAACAGGAAGCTAGAATCCTATAGATATCCACAAATAAAGCCCCAAATCTAAATGACTGTATCGTTAGCTCATTTGTAAACTGTTCCAGATGTAAGGTTTTGGCAGCTTTCCAGTAGGCTGGCTGCAGTCTGAGCTTTCCTGCATCCGCAGTGAGAACTGCAATGCCTGACTCTTGAAGGAAAAGCTCCACAAGGCTGATTACAGAAAGTAACAACCTGCCTGCTGAGGGGGCTTTCAGGCAGATTCCCTGGGCAAAGAATGCCCCTTTCCCTGGGGCCGGACGGCAGCCGCTTCGTGCTGGATGTGTGATCGATCTGCATTATGAATCACCCCGTGAAAGCCCCTCTGAGAAGATCCTTCAGCGATCATATCAGGGACTCCACTGCCCGAGCTTTGGATGTTATCTGGAAAAACACAAGAGACAGACGCCTGGCAGGTGAGGCAGAGGTTAAATAAGCATATTTTAAGCTGGGCTACCGGGCCATAATCAATAAGGGTAATTAGCAGGGTTGTTTGCATAATGAGGCAGCGTTGAATTCTCTGTACTGTGTTTTGTTTCTGTGTCATGTTACGTGGGGGCTACGCCTACAGTGGGGCTGTGTAGGTTTTGCTCTGCGCGCGCRAGAAACGTAAATGGAAGGAAAGGCCGGGGGAATTTTGCTCCGCAGGGGCGGTGGGAGCCGCTCCCGCTGCAGCGAGTTGTTTGGCTGCGAGGAGCGCGAGGATGTGCCCCGCGCGCCGGGCTGGCAGCGCTGCGGAGCCGGCGAGGGCGGCAGCGCGGGTATCGGTGCTGAATGTTCAACCACTGCTGGTGTTTCCTCTGGCAGGGGGTGCGAGTGTCAGGTTTGCCAGAGCGAGGCTTCTGAGGTATAAATTAGGAACAACTCTAGGGTTGCAGCTCATGTTTTTATTTTGACTCGCAAAGGCTCCAGACCTGAGGCAAACCATAATAGAGGGCTGGAGAAAAAGGTATTTTCACTATTCTTTTATCCCCTCTCCTGCAGCCATGTGTTAGGCTGAAGATGTCTCATTCACGCTTTGGGGTGGTTATTTTCATTATCGGCGTTTAGAGGCTTCCAAAGGGGTGGCAGAGGGGCAGGCTGGGCGGGACGTGCCGGAGAGCCCCGTCTGTTTGTACACGCGCTCCGGGGGCGGCTCGGGCTGCCGCGAGGCCAGGAGGGAGGAGAAAGGAGCGCCGGGATACCATTGAGGCGGAGATGACCAGGAGACAGACCTTATGGCCCCCTAATGTAAACTGAACTTTTGCATCATTTTTCCTGCACTTTATCTTTTGGAGAAATATGAGCCGTTAGGTAATGTAAGACATTTGTGATGGCGCACTGATTCCCAAAGCGATTGCATCAGGTAATTAGGCAGCGGGCAGCCATGGCCTGTAAAGAAAAACAGCTTTACAATAGACATCTGTGTTAGAATCCCAAGGAAAACAGTATTAAGATACTTCTGTTCAAAGTCTTCCTCCAGYGCTCTTACGTTAAATGGGATGTAAGGAGTAGTTTACATCCATAAAGTTACTAATTATAGCAGTGGGCATAGAAATGTGCTTTAAACCAAAGCAGCTTTTAAAGGCCATGTACTGGCCACAGTGTTGGCATTTGGGCCAATTCTGTGGCTGTTCTCACAGACAGCAAAGGACTGCGAGTCTCCTTAGCACTGCTTTACAGGGAGGCCTCATGGATCCGTGTCACTGGAGATGGGACATGGCAGTAACCTCAGTGCTCTGCTCGTTGTGAAAGAGCAGCCATTAGTCTCCTTTCCCATGATAAATTGACCTGGGTAGACCATCTGTTTCGTGTCTCCAAGGTGTGTTAGAGAAACGAAGCTGGACTTTTTTGGTAGCTTAAGGACTGAAGGGCTTGGAGGGCAGTCACAACATCGGGTCTTGTCTCAGAGCAACTCTTGCAACACACTGAAACCCCAATGGAAGGGGCAGGGAGAGGAAAGAAAGCCTGGAAAGAGAGGCCAGGAGCTTACACAGACCTATAAAAGGGAAGCTGGTGGGGCCAAGTGGACCTCTGTTTAATCTGCCTGGTCAGCTGGACACTTGTTTACCCTGGAATTAGTTTCCATTCCACCTGCTAGAGATGTTTATGTGAATGCCTTGAAGTAAGCTTCTTAATTTATAGTTAAATTCAGAATGGCATTCACATCAGCAGGCTCCAAGAATCTCTGTCCTGCTTCCAAATAAGACAACTACCAACTGTTTTCTATGAAACTGTTCTCCTCTCACCAGCTCACACAGAGAAGCAAATAATGGTATGTCATTTGTCCATTCTGTATGTGACCTACATATGAAAATATATGGATTTTATCAGGATATAAAAAGGCCTTGAAAAGTACATATACTTAATGTTGCATGTGATTGACAAATATTTGGAGGATAAACAACTGCTAATTATATTTCTTGAGACTGTTGCATTCCTAGTAATGAGTGAACGTGAACCCTCCAGCCTCTTCAACTGTGCTGATAAGGGCCAGCATGTTTTTATTCTGCTTGGCAGATGGTTATGAGCCRTCACCGTTTTTATCAATGCAAGGCTTAGATGTTGGAGGACCCTTAAAAGTAGTGACAGTTCCATTTTCCAGACTGTGCTGGTGACGTAGTTGTTGTCGGTCCACTAATATATTTGAGCTGCTTTCTATCAGAAAGTCATTTAATCATCAGGCTGAGCCCCAATATGCAGGGCAATGCATAGCTGGATGAGAGATATGAGGCTGAATTCCTGAAAATATTTCATAAATCAACAGAGATTTGAGAAGAGAAATGGAGCCTCAACAAACTGTGTCCCTGCTCTGTTTGCTCTCCAGAATATCAGCAGTTGAAACTGCTGACTGCCTAAAACGGCGAAGACAGGTCATGACACTGAAATGAGAAATCCACTTGCATCAGCAATTTGTGTTATCAGGACACACCTTTAAAAAAGCACATGATATGTGCAGAAGAAATTAGAAAATGTGAACTATGCATTCTTTATGACATATGCAAGAAAAAATAATCCAAGCAATGTTTTGCCTGGGAAAGTTCTAGCCTGTTCCCCATGACAGCAAATCGGGCAATACAGTACGATGCAATCATCCAGCAGGCAGCAATGCTGACCTCTTATTAGCAGAATACCCCGGGAAAAGACCATGGAAAATTATTTCCAAAAATATCTTTAGACTAGGTCATATGATCTTAATGACACCTAAGAAAGACAGCATTAAGCTTGGACCAAATGTATCTTAGGGCTTAGAGACAGGGTTGAAACTCCACAGAATGAAGATGACTGTGGTTAGAGGTGGCTGCATTTTACCCCCCAGTTCGTCCCTGCTTGAGATGCTGCCCAGTGATGGGATGGAGAGCAGAGGGCAGGCAGGACGTCCTCCTGGGCCGCACCATCCCCAACAGGGATGTGCAGCCAAGCGCATCCGTAGGGATACGGGAACGCACCGGAGTAGCGTGGCATGTGAAATACAGACCCTGAGGGGCAGAAAGTCGCAGCCATGGCCAAGCTGCTCTGAAGGCAGCATGGCTCGTGATTTCCCACTCGGTGCCTCTTCTCTTTCTTAGTTTACACAGAAAAAGAAAATGTAGACATATGTTTATAGTCACGTCTGGTGATCTTAAAATGTGGAAAATGAATCACTAAATAAATCACTAAACACAATGGGAGCATTTTCAATCGCTAGGACATCAAATGTGTCCAGTAGAGATGGGATATAATCTGGGGCAATGCAATGAACAGCAAAGAATAAAACAACAGAATGAGAAACAAATTGCTGGGTTCTCCAAGTGGGAGATACAAAAGTTATAACGTTTCCTGTGACCACGCTCATGAGAAACAGAAACATTTGCTTGGGAATTTCAAAGGCAGTTGATTCCCCTCACTGATGTCAAACCACATCCTCAGCTGGGAAAGGAAGCACGTTTGGCCTTACTTGGCAGATGGACCTACTCAAATGCAACTAGGATTTTATGCGCAGGGGCAGCAGCCTCCTGGAGGCTTTTACAACCCCACGACACACATCTCCCCAAACACGTGGGAGAGATGTTTGCTGGGGCCTGCACACGATGTCCCGTAGATGACAGTGCACCACTTGTCTGCAGGGCACTGAGACCTATTGTGGCCACCATGTGACAACTAAAAGATCCTTTTTTTTCCTCATTTTCAGCAGCATTTCTGGAAAACACAATCAGGCACTGAGCCCAACAAACCATTCATACACCTCTTTTTAAAAAATAGTTTATTTTTCAGTGAGCAACAAGATTGTCTTCTGGAATGTCTGGTACGGTAGACAAAAAGGGTTTATCGAACCATTAGGATTTTGTGAATTGCACTGGTTTTGTTGAACTGGCTCAGTCAATGAAAGTCCTGAAGACAACATCCGTATTTATCATTTTTATTTACCTACCACTAATAATTTTAGATAAAATGGGCTTTTCTATTTTTTCTTTTTGTTTTCTTAAAAAAAAAAAAAAAAAAACAGAAAAATCACCCATTTTCAGAAATTTTCAAATTATTGATCACTTTTCATTGTGCTACTTAATCTTTGAATCATCTGGAAAGATTATATATATCCTTATAAATTATAGACTAATCTCCTTTTATCCTATGTTAATTTCAAATCTATTTATGCAGGGTTTTTTGTGCAGATTCTTTGGGCTAGATCTATTTTTCTTTAAGTTTAGTCCGAATGATATCAGTATTTAAGTTTTTCTTGATACTTGCCATATCAAACTCTTCATGACTTTGTCTCAGATCACTGGGATCATCCATTTACTCTTGCTGGAGGATGGTTTGTTCTCCATCATCAACATCCCCATACTTCCACTTCTTTATACTTGCAGCTTTCACTTGGTTATAATGCCTGAAAACATGCCTTTTTATGGATTGCAAAATATGTGAGTGTAGGACTTCCTCATTCCTAATAAATGCCCAGCTCTGACTTACAGTTGTAAACATATATTTGTTTCCTTAATTTTCATCCTTGGGAAATTTTTAAAGATTCATTTGAAGGACAAGAACTTGCAATACATTTTACGTATCCCTGATACTTATGTAGAAGAGAAATTACTGCTGTGTTTGCTGTATTCTGAGACTGGAGAAATGTTGGTGTCTGTAGATGAAATAATGTTTTAGAAAATATCTGGATACATTGCAGAATCTGAGGCCACGTGAGACACAGCCTTGTGTAGGTTCCTGTTAAGCTGTGTCAGCGTTCTCAGGAAATGACTTCTGATTGTGGGGTCAACTTGCTATAGGTTTGTTTTATCCAAGCTATTACATATTATTTTAAATATTTAAATGAAACATTAAATCTATTTTTAGATTTAATTAAATAGAAATTTAATTTTAAAATATATACTAATACATACTATAGCATACTATTCCATCAAATATAGGATGGTTGTTGTTTTGAAGTGTTCTTGTAAATAGA